AAGTGCGTAGCAATAGCAATAGCACTTAGACTTATAAACCACTCCATAGTGCTTTATAGCACTCTCTGAACAGTTTACAAATTGTAAACCGTCTGGGTCCTCATTTTACTGACCTCAGAAGGATGAAAGGCTGAGCCAACCCTGGGTCAGTCGGGCCCAAACTCTTGGCAGTGGGAAGAGTTTAGATTGCAATACTGCATTCTAACCACTGCACCTAAGTGGACCAGCAAAAGGTTGTGAATTCTTACTTGGAATTCAGGAAGGCAATTGATAAAGTAGACCATAACCTACTTCTTAGTAAGATTAAAAAAAAAACATCACCACCAGATGGATTCATAACTGGCTTTGACCAACCATATTCAAGGTATATTGAAGAGCTTCTTAAAGGAGATAGCCATTTTTTAAAATGTATAGAATAAGGCTATAATTTTGTAGGAACATGGTCTGAAATAATTCCAGCTATTTTATCCATCATCTGTCTCTTTTATTGCTAAGGAGTGAAACACCACTAAATAATGCATGTGTGTGTGTGTGTGTGTGTGTGTGTGTGTGTGTGTGTGTGTGTGTGTGTGAACGTGGCCTTCAGTACAGCTGGGCCTTTATAGACCTCCCTTTCCATTTCCCTGCAGTAGGGCCGCTTCTTGGAGACATTGCTGTGACTTCCCCACATCGAGTCCTCAGCTGCAGGGTGGTCTCCCCTTCAGATGCCATCTCTCTTATTGTGGAAACATTAAAAAGCGGTTGTGCATCTGCTGCAGAGCGTTTGTAGGAAAAGAATCTGCCAGTCAAAATCCCAGGCAGTTTGCCACTTAGGACACCACGGGTTTTCCCACTTGGCTTTTTCATAAAGGCTGCTTCTCATTAGGAAACTTAGCCGTGAGTCTTTTGCAAAACGAAACCAAAAAAGGGCCATTTCAGTTACTATCTTTTTGAAAGGTTGCTTAATAACTAGTCGGTACTGAGCTGCAGACTACGAGGCAGGGATGAAATGGGCCTCAGGATTCAAATGCTGCACCTTCTGAAGACAGCAGCCAGACACGAGCAGCCGAGAGGGGCCGGTCTGTTTCATGCTGCAATGCCACCATTCCAGCTTAGCTTGGTGGTCTCGGATGCATCTGCTGGAGGTGCCAACCTTTAACATTCAACGCTTGATTGAAGGCAGGTTGGCAGCCATTGTTTTTTTCTGCAGTCCTAATTACTCTCTGAAGTCTGTGTCTGTCTTGTTGGGTTGCAGAACCAAACCGGACGGTTATAGAGGTGCAGATGACAGACTAAGCAGTATCATCTTGTGAAAATTAGGAAACGGTCTTCTTGGTGGTGCTTCTGCCTCTGAAATGCTGCTCCTACCTGCTACCACCATTTGGACTTTCTTAGACTGGTTGTAGTTTTCTTGCTGTTACCTCGCTGGCTTCCAGTCAATTATTTTCTTTTTTCTTGATCTATCTTATTTTCTTTTCATTTTTATCTGAAAGCTATGGAGTTGGGTGGCCTCAAAGCGGAAATAATAAACAAAATAATAAGGAATTGAAACAGATAAACACCTGCCACATAACGGTCCAGACTTGACAATGGATGATATGGAAGACAAAAAAGTCTTGATAGTGGATGGGGCCATACTGGAAAGAGCAGAGTAGAAGAGAAAGAACTGGAGAAAATCACAGAATACCTGCAAATAGCAAAAGAATAATGTGGCAAAAGAGAGTAAAGATGGTATCAATAGCTAGAAGTGCTTTGGTTGCAATCTGAAAACAACTGGAACACTATTTGAATAACAGCAGCGTTAACAAAACCACTAGTCAATGGCAAAAAGCAGCTTTATTTGGAACATTTTACATGCTGCGAAGACATCTTGAACCCCATCAACAACATCTGGAAGGACTCTATATCTGAGTAAAAAATGCCAAATCCCATCTAAATATCTGGCTGACTGTGCATTCCACTATAATAGTAATCCATATTACTATATTGAGGGAAGAAACAACAAGAAATATAATTGTAGTATCTTTGCAGGATCACAGAGCACCCTACCTTGTTGAAAAAAAATCATAATGTTTAGTTTCTTGGCTAAATCTGAATTTCTTAAAAGATGTGGGCCTATTTTTTTTAATCTGGTTTTCATTTTTCTTCTTTTCATCTGCTTTCACACTGTAAACGGATGCCTGCTTTTTCTTTGACTTTTGTTATTTATTTAGAACTCTTCTGCCATTTCATTTTTTTAAATGATTAATTTGTTTGTGAAGGTCATACTTGGATTCCAGCATGGATGCATTCAATTACTACATTTGAACTGTGGAGTACTCTATTAACCATTAGGAACTATCGCAATAGGCAGAGATTTATTAAAAACTAATCTTTTATTGATGGACTAAATCTATTAATTTAGTTATACTTATTCCATATATTTTTCAAACGATTATATTAAATTATATTAAATAAATTACATATACATACATATCTGGATATTGACAGAGGAGTTTATTAAGTCTTATCCTTTGAGATAGGTAAGTGTGCTCAACATGAATGCTATTTTTAAGATATGTTATTTGTTTGTTTATTTATATCCTGCCTGTAATATTTTTTTACAAATAACTCAGGATGTCAAACATATGCAATGCACCTTCTTCCTCCTATTTTTCCCACAGCAACAACCATGTGAGGTGGGTTTGACTGGGAAAGAGCAATCTACCAGACCAAGCTGGCTTTTATAGCTATAGTAGACTTGAACTCATGCCTCACCCCTCATGTTTCTAGCCTGGTGCCTTAACCACTAGACCAAACTATATATTTTTCATGGAGTTCCCTTGCCTGGATAGCATGTGAAAAGCTCAGTATACCATTCTATAAATCCTTGTGAACGTCTTAAATTCTGAAGCTATCATTTTAATTCTTAGCTAAGGGGTGGGGGTTTAAGTTTCCCGAATCTGATACTATATTCTTATATTATTGGTATGGATTATGTTATTGTAAATAAAAGTAACAATACTGATATCATGCCTTTTAACAAGCATTTTGGACAACTTACTGTGATACCTAAGATACACTCTCTTTCCTTGGATCTTTTGGAATATTCATGTAGAGCGCCTCTAATTAGTTGATAATGTCAGTTGTCCAGTTGGTGAACCCAGAAAAAGGAACTGCTGGGACATTATTTTACCAAGAGTATAAAACTTTACTGAATAAACCACATTGGCAGAGAAGAAGCGAAACCACCTCTGGATTTCCCATGCAAAAGCAAGGGTAGATCATTCCCCCTTTTTTCCTACGGGCCACTTGCAGTCCATAACGTCCACCAATCCCTCCTGTTAATTTTGTTATGGGAAAGAGTCAGCCACGCTCGGACGGTGAACGCTTGAATACCATTCTCCCACCCTTGCATTCCGTCCACCCTCCTCCCTGTTATTGTCAAGCAAGTGAAGAAAAAAATGTAGATGAAAGTGTGAAGTTATTTTTATATTGCATGATACTATATCCCTTGCTGCTATGTCTCTTTATCAGTTTGAAATGGTGGTATACCAGTTGTATAAAATAACATTTTGAATTTTTTCTTACACAAAAACAACACTGCCAGAGAATATACATCTTAAATATGATTTTAAAAAAACTATGATATGGAAGATTTAAATGTTGAGATTTTTTTTTCTTTATCAATAATAGGGCAATAATTTCCTTTGTTAAGGGATAAAAAATGTCATTGAGTTGTTGCCCCCCACTGGCTGCATTAAGAACTGCATGGGATGGGTGGCATCTTCAGCTACAAATCCACTACAATTATTCGATATGATCGCTAAATCTCAGAACCCCCACATTAATTATTAAAAATACTTTTTTTCATCAAATTAAATTTGATACACAGACTTTAAAGACCAAATAGAGATTCCCATTTCCCCTACAAAATGGGAAAGTGTCTTAATTGCTTTATCAAAAATGTGAATCTCATTGTCTAGAAAAGGAATAGTTGTTGGATGCTATGAAAATAAGGCTTATTAAACTATTTTGCAATTTCCTAAAATTGTTATGTTTTGAGCAGATGTCATGAAACATTTTAATTTGATTTTAAGATGGGGACTTTGAAGTATTTTGGATGTACTTTTGAATTATATACCTATTACTAAAATGGATTTTGGAACAATGGAAATAGATTTAATGTATGGATACACATGCATAGATTATTATAAAGAAATGTGGCCATTGTTTACTGAAACTTGTGTTAAACTTTTAGGTCAAAGTCTTCATCTATCTGCCCCTTGCAAAGCCCTTTTTCACTACAATAATAGCACTGAAGAATAGTACAATAATGTCAGCCTTCAGCTATCCAAATGTTTCTGGAGTCACTCTTTAGTGATACCCAATAGCTGCTAAACCATGCTATTTATTCAGATCCAAACACTGCGTATAAAAACCCAGAAGTTCATCTACATGCCATTAAACCTGAAGCAAGTCTCACTTTATTACAAATAGTACAATGGGTGAGCAAACCTTGATGAATGCCTTGCAATTAACAACAACAACAACAAAAAACTTCAGCAACTTTCAAAGTAAATTTGCTCCAATTTCAAAAGGCAGGCAACATTAAACTATCAGGGTGAGGATTTGTTAGAGGAAAAAAAACATCGGAAAGGAGCATGAGCTCTTAAATTCTAATATGATTTACATAAATTTATATTAATTATATTTAACTATACATATAATACATAAAAATAAATAGTTCCCTATCAGGTTTCCCGGCACTTAGCTAAAGCAGTGTTTTTCAACTCGGCAACTTAAAGTCGCGCGGACTTCAACTCCCAGAATGCCCCAGGCGGCACGCAGGAATGCCGGGAGTCGACGTACAGCACGCTTTCCAGCCGCCGAGCGGGCAGACGGGGGAGCCTCGCTCCACCCGCACCAAATGCCGCGCCCCGCCCTCTGACGCAGCAGCGGGGCGGGGCTGCGCCGGCCGCGTCCCTCGCAAATCTCGCAGAAACGGCGCGCGGCCGCTCTCTTCCCGCGAGAGGCGTAGCTGTGGGAACGGACGGCGGGGCGACGCGGAAGTGGCGGACGGGCGCCGTTGGCCGCCTGGCGGGGCTTCCCACTCCCTCCTTCCCGGCGGCCGCCCAGCCTCGGGTTCTCCGCCGCCGCCGGCCCGCCACGACCCTCACCCGCCCGGCGGGAGCGGCAGCCGGCATCGGGCGGGGCAGTCTGGGCAGCAGCTGCCCCGGCCTCGCCCGGCCCTGCCCGTCGAGCGCTGCGGTTTGCCCTTGAGGGGCTCCCGCAGCAGCGGCACGGCCGGGGCGTCCTTGGGCGGCGGCGCGCCGGAGCCCTCCCGGCAGTCCCGCGGCATCCCTCGGTGCCGACTGAGAGGCGCCGCGGGTTGCCAGGCGTCGCCCGGCTTCTGCTCGGGGCGCGGAGCCTGCCACCGTCCGGCGAGGGGTCCCTGCGCCGCCGGCGGGCCTCATCCCGGGCCGGGTCGAGGAGGCGGCGGTGGCCGATGCGGCAGCCGCCCTTCCACCCCCCCGCCAGGCGCTGAGCGAGCCGCCCGGCCTGCCCCATGGTGGGCTTCGGCAGCAACCGGCGGGGCGGCCGCCTCCCCTCCTTCCTCTTCGTGGCGCTGCTCTTGGTCATCGCGGCGCTGGCCTTCAATTCCTGGAGCTCGTCGTCCCGCCAGACGGTCCTGCAGGAGGAGGTGGCCGAGCTGCAGGGCCAGGCCAAGCGCGGCGACGTGGCTCGGGGCCGCCTGGAGAAGAGGAACTCGGAGCTGCTGCTGCAGGTGGAGGCGCACAAGAAGTCCCTGGAGCAGAGGGAGGCCGACCGCAGCCAGCTGAGCGGCCAGCTCCAGGCCAAGGATGGCCAGGTCCGCAAGTGTGAGGACGGCAAGGTGAGGAGGAGGAGGGTGCAGCGGCTGCCAAGGAAGGGGGTCTTACTGGCCTTTGAAAACATTAGAGGGAACATAAAGGTCAGAGGTCTCCAGACTTGGGCCAACTTTAAGACTGGGGGACTTCAACTCCCAGAATTCTCCAGCCAGC